GTGGAAATACCCATGTTACATCCCAGCATTTCAAAACAACATGCTGCTCTACAATTCAGATTTGTAAGTCAAAAAATGCAAAGTTTTGCAATCATATGTGATGAATTTTTGCTAATTAAATGTTTTCGCTTGCTAGACTAAGGGGAAGGAGCGATTATATGTTATTGATCTCGAATCGACCAATGGAACTTATCTCAATGGAAACAAAATTGAGACCCGGAGGTACTACGAGCTTCGTGAAAGGGATGTCTTAAAATTTGGCTACTCCTCTCGTGAATATGTTGTCATGCTAGATACAGCTGGCTCTGAGGAAGAAGATGATGTCAAGTAACTAACTTCACCAGTTAGTTAAATTGTTGTAAATAGATTTGTAAATATGTTCATTATATTTATTGCATTAATTACTCTCACTACTTGCATTCTCGATGTAAAGCCAAGTGGAATTTGTTGATGGGTATGCAGAGTATGGAAGAAAGGGGGTTTATTATCTACTCTAGAAAAAATCAAAGAAAAGGAGAAAAATATTGAATTTTCGCGTTTAATGATGGATAATTGGGTTGTCTTCTGAGTGGACCAGATGGTTTGTTGAGCAGATGCTTTTTTCCCATTCCGTGGTAGGTTGTTTAGTGCATCACTGTGCCATGATTATGTCAAGTGCACTTTCTGTTTGCAGGCTTCGAGTTGGAAAACATTTCTTTCGGCAATATTCATTTAATTGGCATCTGTCACAGGAAATGTGGCGGAAAGTAGATTTTGATTAATAATTAGGTCGAACTTCGAAAACTTTTGTCTTCAAAGGTATCAGTCCCATCATATTTCTATCCCTCGCGTAAAAAAATCCGCTGCGTAACCCTAGCGACCATAAGAATAAGTAATCGTCCTCGCTTCATAACTCATTATTTTTTGATCATCTAGCATCAAAAATTGCCAGAACCCTAGTTAACTTTTAAGTCCAAAATAAACAAGCAAATTTTGATGGTTTGATTTGATGTAGCAGTTTCGATGATCAGACAAGTCAGGCATGAAGCTGAGAAAATTTGCTGATACTCATTTTGGACTCTTGGTTTATCAGGGAGCCAATCCTGCTGCAGTATCTGAATTAAGTTTTTAATATGTGTCGAAGTAGGGATAAGATCAGGAGGACATACATCGAAAACTGCATTTTTTATTACAGCAGAGAGTAATGCCTTAAGCTTATTACCTTTGTTATCGAAAAAGAAACTGTAAGTGACAAAAAACTATTATTTGCACTCAATTGCGCTAAATTCACATCGATATTATTATCGTCCAATTATTTCTTTGATAGCACATAATGATAATGTATTCATCCACTTAACATTTGGCCAAATAAGACAAATTATTTTACTTCGGCTTTGAAACGAAACATAAGAAGACCAGTGCAATAAATGGGTTAAAAAAATAAAAGCATTTTAACGCATTTCCCCAAATATATTTCATAACTTAACATTAATTTAGGCAGCTATTTATAGCTTCACAGAAATCGCCAGCATGTAATTGAAAAAGCGATTTTATTTTAACAAGAAATATATAAAGAATGAGAATAAATGTACAGAAACTCGGTATGAATTTATCGAAGAAGAGCCATTTTAATTTGTTCCCGAGCTGCCTGCATAGCCTTAAAAACCAATTATCAATAAAAAACCAAAACTAAATACCTCTTGAACAGTCTTCTCAGTCAAAGTATTCTCATCTGGTTTTACTCCAACACGAGATGCCAGTGCAGATGAATCGCACTCCATAATAATTCTATGGGGGAAATTAATTGATAATGATTTTACCCTCCATCGCAAAGCTCATCAATAGACAGGTAAATAAGTTCCAAATTGTCAAGAAGTGACCTCTTTTCAAGATTATTCCGAAGAATTTGCGTGATGGCGTCATGGAGGCAAGAAAGTGCATTCATAAGCATTAGCTCATTTTCATTAACGTCACCGATAACGTAAAAGTATATGTCTGAAGTGGTACGGTGAACACATGTAGTTCCTTCAAACAAAGTGATTTCAGCTGCGAAAAAATTATTTATTATATGGCAACGTACCATATGGGCTTTTGTTAGTCTTGGCAAAGAGTTTCTTTTCAAAATCCAGTTGTGCCTTGGTCGTTGGAAAAGAATTGTCATAGTACTATCTCGATAAGATTTAAAATCTACCATTACCTTGGCGACTATTCTTTTTCCCTCATTATCAAGTAGAAGAATGGCTTTAATAGCATATAAGTCCCAAACAGCTGGCATCGTTTGGAAGAGCGCGGTGAGTCAATATTTGCATAAAACGCACTCTAATTCCTTGCCAGATAAATACTTAAAACTATTTTTGAATCACAATTACCAGGATCATGAAAAACATAAATTAAACTTCTTAGAATATTAAATTTGCTTAAAAGTGGATGAAACAGTGAAAGTATTACAAAATTAACACGAGTTCTAAAATTTTAGTCCAAATTTATATCACTTCTATAAATCACAATTTATGCAAATTTTTAAATAAACAGTTAAATGGGTTTAATTTTACTACCTTTTTTTTAATTATTGGTAAAATTTTATTATACTAGAGCCACTCTTTGACTTGTGGACTTTGATTTGTATAAACAGATTTTTGTCAAGGTTGAAAATTTGCAGCATATACTTGTGGTAAAAAATAAGGGTTATATATTTTTATGACTTCTATTTATTATGATTAGCTTGAAACATGGTTATAAGAGAAATCGCCCTTGTCATCGCGAATCACAACGTCTTCAGATCCTCCATTGGAATGCTGGGCCAATCACAACGTCTTCAGATCCTCCATTGGAATGCTGGAGGGATGTCACAGGACAAAAACGTCCAAGTTAAAAAAATCATACAAACCTATGATGTAGACATTTTCACAATTATGAAAGCAAACATTTCGGATGACAAACTGAAGTACTACCAATTCCCAGCTCAAATCTATGATGTAGACATTTTCACAATTATGGAAGCTACATTGGATGACAAACTGAAGTACTACAAATTCCTAGGTTAACCCCTGTACAATCTACCTAAATACCGGCAAGTTGCAAGTGGAATTCTTAGAACTCTACCTAAATACCGGCAAGTTGCAAGTGAGATTCTAACTCCAAACTGAAGTACTACCAATTCCCAGGTTACACCCTGTACAATAGAGAAGTATTACCAATTCCCAGGTTACACTCTGTACCTTCTAACGGCGAGTTGCAAGTGGAATTCTAACTGGAGTAAAAGAAGGAATTTGCAAGTGGAATTCTGACTGGAGTAAAAGAAGGCCTTAGGTTACACCCTGTGCCTTCTACCTAAATACCGGCAAGTTGTTACACCCTGTAGAAATCTACCTAAATACCGGCAAGTTGCAAGTGGAATTCTAAACCGGAGTGAAAGAAGGCCTCACCTCACACTACAACCTAATCACCTACCTAAATACCGGCAAGTTGCAAGTGGAATTCTAACTGTGCCTAAATACCGGCAAGTTGCAAGTGGAATTCTCACTGGAGATCCTCACATTCCGATCTAATCAAGAGTATGGGCTCGACGCAAGTCATTACGATCAAATCATGAGTATGGGCTCGACGCAAGACATATGCGA